TCGAGAACGGTACAACGAATCGTCTTGTTTCTCGAATGATTTAATGAATCGTTAAAGCGTCCACGCTTCGCGCGGATGGGGAAAAAACTGAATTCAGACGAGGATGAGGACGAGGATTAAGAGTCGAGAACTGTACAACGAATCGTCTTTTTTCTCGAATGATTTAATGAAACGTAAAAGCTTCCGCGCTTCGCGCGGGAGGGGAAAAATCTAAATTCAGACGAGGATTATTTTCGAAAACGGTACAACGAATCGTCTTCTTTCTCTCATGATTTAATGAAAATTAAAAGCTTCCGCGAGAGGGGGGGACCTGAATTCAGACGAGGATTAAGAGTCGAGAACGGTACAACGAATCGTCTTCTTTCTTTAAAAATTTAATGAAACGTCAAAGCTTCCGCGCTTCGCGCAGGAGAGGGAGAGGGGGGGGGACACTGAATTTAGACAAGGATTAAGAGTCGAGAACGGTACAACGAATCGTCTTCTTTCTCTAATGATTTAATGAATCATAAAAGCTTCCACGCTTCGCGCGGAAGGGGGTAAACTGAATTCAGACGAGGATTAAGAGTCGAGAGCTGTACAACGAATCGTCTTCTTTCTCGAATGATTTAATGAAACGTAAAAGCTTCCGCGCTTCGTGCGGGAGGGGAAAAATCTAAATTCACACGAGGATTATTTTCGAAAACGGTACAACGAATCGTCTTCTTTCTTCAATATTTTAATGAAACTTCAAAGCTTCCGCGCTTCGCGCAGGAGGGGGAGGGGGGGGGGGGGGGGACTGAATTTAGACAAGGATTAAGAGTCGAGAACGGTACAACGAATCGTCTTCTTTCTCTAATGATTTAATGAATCATAAAAGCTTCCACGCTTCGCGCGGAAGGGGGTAAACTGAATTCAGACGAGGATTAAGAGTCGAGAACCGTACAACGAATCGTCTTGTTTCTCGAATGATTTAATGAAACTTAAAAGCTTCCGCGCTTCGCGCGGAGGGGGGGGGGGGAACCTGAATTCAGACGAGGATTAAGAGTCGAAAACTCTACAACGAACCGTCTTCTTTCTCTAATAGTTAAATTAATCGTAAAATTTTTCGCGCTTCGCGCGGGAGGTGAAAAACTTAATTCACACGAATTTTTTTTTCGAGAATGGTACAACGAATCATCTTCTTTCTCTAATAATTTGATGAAACGTCAAAGCTTCCGCGTTTCGCGGAGAAGGGAGGGGGAAACTCGCCCCTCCCTGCACCGACTCCCCCCCCCCGCATTACGTCACTGTTGGTCACCATTACGTACCAATATTTGGCTCGCAAAATTTCAAATTTGGGCCCCCCCCCCTAAGAAATCCTGGATCCCCGCCTGTCCCCTGGTGCCAGTCCATACAGTAAATTTTGCTTCTCATCAAGTATTTTTGTTTGTGTGTGTGTGTGTGTGTGTGTAAACGCACCGTACTTTTTGTTTTACAAAGATGACAAAGTACACTCTTGCAAAATGTCTTTGTTCAATATCAAAAATTCACGTTTTAAGTTGTTTCCTTTTCATTTCATTTCATTTGACTTGATTTGGGCTTGTCTATATTTCGTCTCGTACTTTATATTTTAAATTGAAACTTATGAGAAAAATAGAAGAAACCGACTCCTAACTTTTCTTTCTGCACTCTCTCCCGCCAACCAACTCTCTGTCTCCCCCTCACTTACACACATTATTTTCTCTCAAGGTTGCTATATGTAAGAAGCTCATTCTTTTTATATAAAGTATTCCTATTTGGATGCTCAGATAATAGTTATCTCATCTACCAATAATTGTCAATCATGTCTCGGATACTTTCTGCCAGTCGTACTTTTTTTCTCGCTATAATTATATGATGCGAAATCAAGAAGGCCGAAATATGCTGCAGGTAGAATGGGCCCAGGGGGGGGGGGGGGGGGTGGTGGGTCGGTTCATTAGAGAACTAATTCTAAGACATGTACATTGTAGAGTTGAGTACATAATAGAGAGGGAAGGGGGTACATGAAGACAAGGGAAAGTAGAACAAGATAAAACAACGGGGGGGGGGGGGTCGAAAGAGGGACGAATAGAATAAAAGAATTCAATCAATGAGGTTTTGCAGTATACTTAAAAACAAAGTCGATGAATGTGAAATGCTACATGATTCGAAGTCCATAAATGATTTCTTAAGATAGTATACAAAGTAACGAAATACATGCATATACCATACAGTGCGTCCCAGAAAAAACGAAACCGAGAAGTATCGATGTTTTATCATAACTTAATCACAACTATAATTAATGAATGATACATATTTGGAAAGCTTCTCTTTCAGTCTCCTCTTTCAGTTGATGCTACTCAGATAATGCATATTTCACGCATGAGTGATTAAAAGCAGTTTGAAGGAAGGAAACCAAAAAGTAATTTGGCGGGCGGTATCTGAATTTCAAAGAAAAATTCATATTTCTTGAAAGTTCATTTTCTGCTCTTTCATATGATACCTCAATCAAGAAAAATGAGCGAGGAATAACAAAGTTATGTTTGTTTAAAGTAGCCCTTACATTTTCATAATTTTAACAAACGAATTCGTTTTCACTGGGTGCCTGCCGTAGCAAAAAGCAGATTTGACAAAAGACTTAACTCCGTTTCGTTGACAATCAGCCATGCATGAAGACTCTCGTCTACGGCTGGTTGTAAACGAAACGGAGTTAAGTCTTTTGTTAATGTCGTTTATTGATACGGCAGGCAGCCAGTGAAAACGAATTCGTTTAATAAAATTATGGAAATGCAAGCACTACTTTAAACAAACAGAACTTTGTCATTCCTTCCTCATTTTTCCTGATTGAGGTTTCATATGAAAGGGCAGAAACTCAACTTTCTAGAAATAAGATTTTTTTTTCGAAATTCAGATACCGCCCGCCAAATGTCTTTTTGGTTTCCTTCCTTCAAATTGCTTTTAATCACTCATGCGTGAAATATTTCATTATCTGAGTAGCATCACATGAAAGAGGAGACTCTAAGCTTTCCAAATATGTATCATTTATTATTTATAGTTGTGATTAAGTTATGATAGAACATCGATACTTCTCGGTTTCGTTTTTTCTGGGACGCACTGTATAGCGTTTTTGAGGAAAGATAAGAATACAACTGACGAAGAATGCTGAAATTGCAAGACAATTTAGGAAATTTTTATTGATCAAAGTTGCACAGCAAAGTCATAAAAGCCCAGGACAAAACCACATTTTGGTAAGTGCAGGCCATAAAAAAGGATTATTATATGAGACAGAAATAAAACATACTGAAAATTATAAATAAACATTTGAAATAATTCATTTTTAAGTTAATAATAATGGGAAATATAAATTTCAATAAACATTTGAAAGAATTCATTTCAAAATAAAATTAATGGTATAATATAAATATAAATACCCGAACGATAATCAAACATGTATGTACTGTGCCATACCCCTTCTCACTCCTCTACCCCATTCAGCTTGTCTCCAGACGAATCCGTTACGCAAATTGTGATTTTAGACATTGTTGTTTTACATTTCGTTTCTGCCCACAGTCGGACTAGATACTAGAATATGCATAGCCTACAATACCCAATAAAACCATATAGAATACGATGTGGGTCTAACTACATTTCAATACTTTTCTGTGTTCAACGCGATGATATTGTCTGAATGATAACTGATTACCTTATTAATTTGATCCATGTCTGTAAGGCTCTGGACCCCACTGGAAATAAGCTCTCGTGCTTTCGTGGGTTATCCTGTTCAAGCTGACTTATTTTTGATCTGTTATTATTGTATATTGTTGTATGTTGGAAGCTTGTCGAATAAAAATCAACCAATCAATCAATACTGTAATTTGTTGTTGTTGTAATGATCACAAAGCCTTGTATGTATAAAGGTCAATAAGAAAAATGATAAGACGTGTCATTTCAATATTAAAGCATGGACCCTGATTATATATAATCAAAATTGTTTCTTTGTCATTGGCCCATAATCTCTGCTACTTTCCGTTTAAATACAGTATCTATATAGGTCATGGAGTTACACGAGTGTTTAAGATACAGCCAAGTTCCTTTAAAGCCATTTTTTTTAAAGGGACATGAAGGCAAAAGCACTTAACTTTCTACAACTATAGTTTGCACACACAACGTCCGGACAACCTGTTTGATGCGACTCATGCGAAAATGATAAAGAAAGCTTTATTATACAAGCAAGTTGTAAAGATGAACAAAATACATAATTATCCGTAACTAAAAGCATGTAAATAATGCTTTCGTCACATTCTTGTTGAACTGCGTATTCTTCTTGATAGTCCCTTTTCCTTGTTTTCCTTTTCAAACCCATTTCCCCACACTTGAATGAATAATGTACAGGGAAAGAAATATGCAATGTTCCTACAAACAGATATGAACAAAATAATCTCACACACAAAATAATTGTTTTTAAGGTGAAGTACTACATAGATCGCAGATTCTTATTTTAAGAAAAAAAGTACAACGACTTCTTATAAAGATTTCCATATAGTTTAGAAAATAAAGTATCCGTATAATAAAACATTCTCCAACCGGTAATTCAATGTACAGCGCTGATTTAAAAGTACTATGTCCCATTTTAAGGCCAAACAAAATATGAACAGGTTATATTCCAACGGCATTTGAAAGACAATACTAATTTAGAACTTTCCTCAAAACGAAGGGGCTTGAAAGTGTCTTTTAGTGGGAAATAACGACAATTAGTTGTCGAGTCGACTTAAGTGATTGCAGTCACCTAAGTATAGTCTGATTTACAGACCCTTTTACCGAATCGTCGTACGTTTTTTGCACAATGATTCAATCAGTTTAAATTTGACCATTACAAGCTATTTGGTTATTGATGTATATAGCAAATGCCCATGTAAATGTTACAGCTCATTTTATGTATGTTATTACCGAAGAAAAAAGATGTCTGTCAGTCATTCAATAGTGTCTAACAGTGAATCCTAGAAGGTAAACGGGTTTCCTTCAATACTAGGACACTGCTGACGTTCAAATTTCATACTAGGACATACATTACATATTCATAATTCCTGCAAAGTATAATTTTTATGTTGGCTGCAAAAGAGACATAGTATTTTTAAGATAACATAATTAAGTTTTGAAGATTTTGAAAGGTATCACACCTATTATTTGTTTGAAAATGAATTCGAATTATAAATTAAAAACTATGAAATTCAACAGAGAAGGCATGTATTCCTTCTGATCTGAGTATTAACAGGAACTACGTCAAACATCTACCTTATGAAGTACGCTTGGATCAAAGAACAGAGGGGGCAAAACGCCATCATCTTCATTTGTATCATTGTAAGACCTCTGCAGTTTGAAATGCATCGGTCCCGGTGACACCACCCGCCATGCTCTCAGAACCATAATGGTGGCGGTCCGTGGTGATTATGTTAGTGGTGAAAATTATTGGAGGTGGCGATGGTGGAAGTGATGATGGTCGTGAGGGTGGTGGTGGTGGTAAAGGCGAATGCAATGGTGTCGCCATCGATAAAAAGGCTTCAACATCTGCAGACGCCCCTGGGTCACTGCATGAGGTCTGTATCAGGGTTTTACTGTTCCAGGGGCTTGTTGACATTAAAAGCTATCTTCGGACGGGGTATACGGTAGGGAGGAAGTGCTGATGATGACTGAGCATCAACACGGTTCGAATCCTTAAAGGGTTGATCAACAGAAGCCTCTCCACGCCGTTGTAGAGCATACGAATCATGTGCTTGAGAGTTAGCATCGCCTTTTGCGATGCCAGAAACCTTGGCCCTTGGTCTGAAAAAAAAGTTAAATAATGTTTAGAGAATATTTATTGATTTTATTCATCATGCCAAAACATTATTATTATTAAAGCAGTGCTTGATGCAAGAGCGATGATTTGTTTTTGGAAGCAAGACGATGTTTGTCCAACATGAAACTGCTTTTCACATTTTGTATGAGCCTATAACTATATTGAGCACTCTAATGATTTGACAAGTCGCTTTGCGGAAACATTTTCACTTATGTGAATGAAGGACAGTCCTCATATTTTCACCTATAACCACTACCATCTTTCCATTTTGCTGTCCTTTCTCACTTTCTAATTTCTCTACCTGCCCTTACCCTCCTTATCCTCTCTTCCTCCCCTGCCTCCATATACCCCCTCCCTTTCCCTCCTCGTTTTCTATTACTTTTAAGTCATGTGATGAGAACGTGAAATGTCAAATATACAGTTAAAAACTAATTTAGGCATAATTCCTTTAACAAGTTTTGTAATTGTTGAAGAATGTGAATAACTTAGTTTGGCCCAATTTAAATTTCTTGAGAATGTGAAGTATTGAATATTACATCTCAAATTATTCAACGAAGGCCCCACCTCTCATACTTAAGTTATGAAAAACTCAAAACACATCAATTACAAGAAGTATGGATTATCTAGCTGTTAACCGTATATAGGATATCTAACAAACGGATGAGCTTTGAATGTAACATCAAAATAAACGTCTTTCCCTAAAATATATAGGCCCGAATTCACAAAGGAGGTTTGTCGACAAACCTAGGTTTATGTGCGTCATATGACGCGTTTTGATGCGTTTCAAACCTAGGTGTGTCGACCAACAGCTCCTTTGTGAATTCGGGTCATTATGTTTACATCTTACATTATAATTTTGAAAATTGCAAACTCACTATCGACACTTGCTACATTTCTCTTTGTTTGAATTTTGTGAAGTCCATAATGATGTTTGAGGAAGAAGAAAAAACAACACACACGCACACACACACACACACACACACACACATCTAACCCGTTTCTATATGAAACATCTTATCTCACCTGTACCACATGAAGTACCAGGCTATGGCAACTGCAATCACTAGAAGTCCTGCTATGACACTTGTCACAGAGATAATGATCTTGGTTCTCTCCTCTAAACCTGGTTCTGATGTAACTGGTAGAATAGCTTCTGAAGCTATAAGAAAAGGACCACAGTTTATTGACGACATACAGAACATGTCTGATTAAGTGAAAAGAGGACATTTAGTCCCAAATGATTCAGTTAATTCTCTTATCAGGAAAAGAAATATTCCAGCAGTTACATTATTCAATAATTATCTGTAAATGAATGATGTGCCGAAAAGTAGGACATTTATTCTGAATACTTATGGCATTGGCACAGGCAGAAAACGATGGGGGGGGGGGGGGGGGGAAGCCTCCCATATATTAAAGATATAAGATATAAAAAGAAAGTGATTGGGAGAGAGATAGAGAGAAAAAGCGAGGAGGAAGACATTGAATATTATAAAGAGGAAAAAGGGTGATAAAGTGGAATCTCTTGTCACTATGAACATGACCGACAAAGAAAGCGGACAAAATATACAGTTACTCATTCTACCCTCAACAGTGGCTATCGTAGACAAAGGAACATCCCTTCGCTGCTATTATGTAAAAATGTGTAGAACAGGATAGAATGAGGAACTGTATATTTTGTCCGCTTTCTTTGTCCGTCATGTTCATAGTGTGTGAACCCTCAGTCAGTCAGTCACACCACCCCATTATTGATCATTCTTTATACCATCTTCAATTCATTTCAAAACCAGTTATATCTTATCAAAATTTTGTACATATAGTCCAACTCCAAATTTGGCATATTATGAGATCACGTTTTCGCAAATACCAGCTTTAGCCTTGAAATTCGCAGATATGGTATAATTTCTGTAAGACAGCTCACCAAAACAATCTGAGATATTGGTTGAGAAGGGCTCCGCTGTCACGGTATCATTCGGGCAAGGGATGCAATCGGTCTGTCCAGAGTCTTCTTGATATGTGTTTAGCGGACAGGGGTTGCACTCATGCTCAATGTCGTCTGGTAGAAAGGAGTAATATGTTCCTGGTCCACAGGGCACTTTAAATAATAATACAATAATTGTGTTTACCCATGGAAGCCTTACCAACTTCAAAGCTTGTACTTCTGAGGGTAACGCAACTATTATTGCTCCACTTATATATTATTGTTGACAGGTATACCCATTTACACCTGGGGAAAGAGTGGTAAATGTGGAATAATATCTTGCCCAAGGACGTTAGTGCCGGGCAAGAATTCGAGCCCTCAATCAAAAGACTGAGAGTCACATGAACGAACGACACATACTATAGCATAATGATTACACAATTTAGGGATGATATAAACAGTTACTCATTGATTTGAACCCGTAAGAATTTCGATCATTTGAAAAAAAACTATATAATCTGAAAAAGGGACATCAGGTAACCCTCTGTGCGTAAACATATTTCTAAATATCCATAAGGTGATTGGCCAAAATGAATTCTACTTTTAATTTAATTTTAACTGAAATTAGCATGACCAAATGCATGTTCCAGTTTTATCGGAGGAGACGTAAAATACTGCTCGCATATAAGGTTACTCCCTCCCAATAAGCAGGATAACGAACAAACAAATATTACTTACCACAATATCCAAACTGATCTGCAGTCAACAACCCTGGTGGACACTTCATATTAGCCCACAGATAGACAGAACTCTTGTTCGGTTCTAGGACCACATCATCAACGGTTAGGACCAAAGAATCCTGCTGGACTAGTCTGTCAAAGGTTTGCGAGAAGGAATCCAAAGGCTGTGAATCTGGTTCATCCCCATCTGTGAAATTAAAAGAAAAATGCTTAATTAACTTTGATGACTATTGTTTTCTTGAATATCTGACAAAAATGCGCAGAGTCTGCCGGTGACCGACCCTTGTTTCTGTGACAACTACTCGGGGCCTTATTTCGTCTCGGGCTACGACCAGAGTTACAAGTTGGGGTTAAGGTTTAGAAGTGTTTGGTCGAGAATTGATGTTATGAATTGGATTAGTTAAGGAAATTGAAAGCAGAGCAGTTGTTGCCACGGCGTGTGCCACGGACCAACCTCTCATGCTAGATAATTATGATCCAAAGTCATTGAACATTTTCAGGAGCATATTGAATGTTAGGTATATATTGTGTTATAGAACGTTTTAAATGTTGGGTATAGACGTGCTTTATGGTTTATGTAGCCATGTATAAAAACAAAATAAATAATGCTATCCTGAGCGTTTACCAAAATAATTACACATACCATGCGTTCATGAAGGACAATGACGTTTCCGCTCACGACAAGTTCTGTTTAATTGTGCAATTACCTATATTCCTAAAAAGGAGAAGTCGATTACGAAATCTTTCCCTAAATTCACTTTGTTTCTATCTCATCCTATAACCGAGATAACGAAGACATGTATTTGTACGGCACATGGAACTGACAGCTCTTTTGAATAAGGACTTACATTTAAATATTAATGTAAAAATATAGTTTAAATTAAAAATGCATAATATACACTTACTTTGCTCATGTGTTATATTCTGTATCGTGGTAACTATGACAGTAACCCCGGTGTCTGCCGCCCTTTTTGCCCGTCTGCTGACACCGACGGACTCACAATTCACTGCCTAGATGTTGAGGGTATAAAGAAGAATTGCACTATGATCCCCATCGTATTTGCTGAATTTATAGTGTCATGATACACTTAAATTGACAAGCTGTTAGACTTGTATTTCGTTTTGGGAAAATTGTAGAGAGACATTCCAAAAGCAACCGTTTGCTTAAAGGGTTGTTCTTGATATTCACTATGGATATATACATATATATATATGATAGGTCAATAAAAATGAAACGATTGATCAAAAAAAGTCTGATGTATAATTTTAATTTTTGATAATGGACTGGGTATTTTCAAAGTGATGGGAATATCTCAAATGGAATTCCTTCTTAACTCCCCCTAAAAGGGTTTATGGAACATTCGATACAGAGGTAAAGAGAGAGAGAGAGGAACAGAAAAAAAATGGAAACGATAAAATTAAGCTGTTGTTGTTAAAGGTAAAGATCGGTTGTGGAAACGCCCCCTTTTAAAAAATGCAATGGAAGCTCTTATTACCAATCATATGAAAGAATATGTTTTGACTATTACGTGATGATACAAATTTTGCCGGGAAACCGCCTACTAATTGATATATTTGGTAAATTATTATATCTATCCGGACTGGATAGATATAGGGTAGTCCCATGTACATCTTTCTGTGTACAGTGCTTGTAACTTTACCAAGACTGGGCCAAATTTCTTAGCATGTTGATGATTCCAGAACCTTGCAGTGCACACCAATACTTATATGCTAGATGATCAACCTTTTCTAATCGATTCCACAGCGTTTCTTTCACAATGCAATCGCATGACCAGAACTGGTCTCAACCTTTAATAACGCTGAGCGACCTATTTCGATCCATGCCCCCTTTTATTAATTGCCAAAGTGTAAATCATTTAGCACAACAGAATAAATATGGTCGGTAGGGTAAACTCCGATGAAATCCCATGAGCTTTCTATATTATGAATTATACAATACACAGCTACCATTGTGCAAATTGCCATGATAGTTGGGAAAATTCTTTAGAAGAACGACTCAGGTGTGTATACATGAGAAATAACAGTAAACATTGCGAAAAGAACGCGTTCCTTACTTCCACACTTTCAATCTGACAGGTACCCCGAATTAAACACGCAAACAGCTCCTCATGTCCGAGAAGTAGATTTCTAAACCCATCTTCAATGGCTTTCTGTTCTGCCGAAGATTGGCAAAGAGCTGCGGGGTAGTCCACGCTAGAGAAACCGTTCGCTTCCGTAGCTTCCTGCAACTCTGTGTTATTTTATTGAAAAGGATGTAAAATCAACCCAGCAACGGCATTCCTATAAGCTGTCAGCAAATCATTATACAAAAAACCGTTGGAGAAGTAACATCTGTCGTCAAATATGAAAATATAATGAATTTGGCGACTAGGTTCTACACTCACTAACAGCTTTGAAAGTTTGAGAAACCCTCGACTTTTGCTTGTTAAAATCTTTTCAGCTGACTTGTCGGTAAATTTTGTTAAACACCAAGCTCCTCTTCAAAATAAACGAGATATATTCTCCTTTCTTTCATCCGAAAAAAGTAATTGATGTTTTTCAAACTCATTAATTGTATTTCGAAAGCAACTAATTAATTAACTATCTACCTAAACAACGACGAAAATCTCAAGAGAGTGTTTTCTTTTAGGCGAATTCACAACAGCGGTTTATACCATGCCATACGGTGTAAACAATTATGGTATAAAACTCCCGCTGAACTTAAAGTATACCAGTCATGTGAAGAAAGAACAAATTATATATAGCTAGAATGTATAAAATCAACCAAAAACAACAACTTTATCTGGAATTGTACAGGTTAACAAATAACGGGTGTGAGGAAAATATAGGATACCATAAAGACCCCGCGTATAGGGCTCGCACGTAACCCAAATTTGACTTGGGTTCCATGAGCACCCTTAGCTATTCTATGCGAAGACGTTTTCACTGAGAAGGTGTTTGAATTGTTATATCTTTTTTTTGTGCAGAATTAATATTTTAAACTTATATTTTCAATACAGTAAAGCCGAATGGAACTCCTTACATTAAGAGCAAAACATGTTGTGGTGATCGTTACACTTTTGAATATGCGTACAGAAGCGTATATTGCTCTTTCGTTGGCCATGGGGACACGCGTATGCTACGCTTGTGGGGGTTTAAAGTTAACTGTCCAAATGGCCACTTTCGCGAATTCCGGCTAAAGTTTATTTAACCTACCAACACAACTGGGCAGTCTTGCATATGGATTCTCAGGCGTCTGGTGGTTCCATCGGTAGTTCGTGCCCTCTCCGCAGGAGAACTCGTCGCGCTCGAACTTGGAATTCTCGGACTCGTATCCGGTTCGGCATTTCACTGTGCAAGTGATGAGCGTCGGGGTTTCACCGCAAACCACATATCCATTCAAAGGGCGCCTCAGATTAATACAACCTGGTAAAAAAGGGGGAAAAAGTGGAATATAATAGATACTTCTGTTACATGTAAAATGTGTATTTTTTCTGTATCCTGTAAAACATATTGATTACTTTTGAAATATCAGAGGTTGGAAATTTGGAATGCCACACTATTGTGTAAATCCCCTATTCAAAAAAATTCAAAAATATAAATGTCCCATTTGCAGGTCAAACAAATGAAAAGGATAAATTCTAACCGCATTTGAAAGACAATACTAATTCAGAATTTCCCTCAAAACGAAAGGGATTGAAAATGTCTTTCAGTGGGAAAATTATTATTATTATTATTATGTTTCATTCAAAATAAAGCTTACCTTTTAAACATCTGGTATAGGTATTAAATTCGGAAGCAAATCAAATTAAAAATCGATCACATACCTGGGCATTCCTGCGTGTTACACGGCTCCTCCTGCTCACCCTCTCCCTCGCATGGTTGGCCGCCATTTTGTAGTTCTGGGTTGTCACAGTTCCGAGTCCTAGAATGGACTCCACCTCCACACGTGACAGGACACTCTGTCCATGAACTCCATCCATTCCAACCTCCATCGACTATGACGATATTAAGAAATTAAAGGAAAGCAATTGATACAGTCGCTCTCGTGATTCACAGCACCTTTATGCAGATGTTTCACCGCAGTTGCCAATGATGATTCCCTCGGTCACCTGACCGCAAAAAGGATAGTTATATAAATAGCATTGCATGGTTGAAATGTTCTTTTTGCAGAAAGACGACGCTCTGTACTATTTCGAACTTTTTCTAATCACAGAAGACAAACCCGTCACAGAAAAAGTGTTCAAGAACATGGTGCTTTTGAAATTAAATGTTGCAAAATTCGTTTGCGGTGAAGAAAAGCAAGATTATATAGGCGATGACAATGGTAAGGAATTCTCTATGTCCAGATATATTTATTATTTCATATTTTTTTCATAATTGTCATGAAATGATATACATTGTTACCATTCGGAAGTCAACATTAATTTCTCCTAACTCATATTTGGTAATTGTCTTTCAAACTTTGATGTTTTAATTTCATTTTGAGACATAGCAATAAACAATTCAAATATTAACGTTATATTTTTATGTTGCCAAAATTGGATGTCTGACCAGTATGTTTTTTAGCCTACGGTCATCAACAAGAAAGTCTAGGTTTAAATGTCAGACCTAATACACTTACATTTTAGCTGGCGCACGCAAAGGAAATGTGCCACGATATGGTAATTTAAGTTTTACTATATTTAATTTTGTTTTCTTTTCGGCTCTTACTTATTTCAAGTTCGCAATGATCTCCGGAGAGTCCTACTTCACAGGTACAAACTAATTGTCCTTCAATGGTTGAGCAGGTCCCGCCATGTTGACAGTAGTTCTCCTTGCAGATATCTACGAACCCCTCACAGGTCGGTCCAGTAAAGCCATCCCGGCACGCACAGGTGAATTCATTTGGCAGATTGATGCACGTGCCCTCGAATTTACATGGGTTGCTGACACATTCATCAAAAGCTGCAAAATTAGGATACATCATGTTAATAACTAATGTGTATTTTAAAATCAATGTTTATGTTCCAGAGCGTGTGATTAATATCAAGACAGGCAATTTTAGGAGTATATTTACTATATTTGTAATAGGAGGTTCGCCGTGATGAGAATATTCGTGATAATTAAGTTGCGTTACAAAAGGAGGAGAAGAACAAAATGGTCGACGATGCGCCCATACAAAGTTGGAGGAGGTGGAAAAAGAAGAAGAATGAGGACTAGCAACAAAGCAAAATGTTTATTTGTGTACCTTTCATGTAATCTTTTTCGTTTGACCGTTACATCTATAATGAAAAGGTTCATTGATATTTTAGTACAAAACGAGTAAAGTTTAATAGTTTCAATAAAACAAAGTACCTTACTTAAAATGTAACCCTATAAACTGCCTGTCGGGCGTATAATCTGTTGTAATAAAAAGTTACTCGTCATAATGGTCTTCGCATTCTGGCGAAGACCTAATCACGATGATCATGATACTTTTGGATCCAAAATCTAAATAGGAAATGTTTTTTTGTTATTATTGTTAGTGTTCTTATTTAATTTTCTCTTTTCGTTCTTACTACCATTACTTTTGATATTTTACTTACAGTCACAAACCGACGGGGATGTCAATAATAGTTCATTGGACTCAGTGACTTCAACTACAAGTTCAGTCCAGGATAAGAGTTCACCAAAATATCCACTTATGCAATTTGTGGACAGTTCAGATTTGATGTCGTCACTAACTTCTGTACTCCAAAGATTGTAGCTACTTAAGAACACCACTTCTGAAGATAAAAACACAGGATAAAGAAAAAAGAAGAAGTAAAGAAGAAAAAGAGGATGAAGAATGAGAAGAAAAAGAGGACCAAAAAGAGTGAGGATATGGAAAAGTTCAGTCGTAATTACAAGAGGTCCGAAAGCATAAGGAGGCCACAATACACACAATTAATCTCCTCTCGTACCATACAATAATTTGAAAGTAAGTATATTAAACGCATCATTATAAGAATAAAACAACCTGGCGCTATAAAATATAAACCCCCAAAACATTCAAGAAATCCCAACAGTTTACGTAAATGAATGATATGTAGTTTTGCTTATATAATACTATCCGGGTAAAATCAAGACAGTTTGGAAGAGTCGTATCATGTGAGAGTTGTGGTAAGTCCCCCAACCCCGACGACTTAAACAAAATCTATGAGCTCGTAAGGTCCTCTTACCCTCAGTTTCCATGTGCAATACCCCGATTGATAATATATCTTCAGGCGTTATGGAAGCCAGATGACTTCCACTTTCTAGAAGACTAGCATTAACTCGCAACTCCCAATTTCCAGTGTCCTCCAAGTCCCATGTAAAGAATATGTGATGCCACACATTGTCGCAGAGGTTTGAATGTGTATCAATGAGTAGGCTGTATGGAGCAACAAGTCAAACATTATAAAGGAGAACATTTTGTGGAGTGTGTCATAAGCGAGGTAAAAAAAAGAATTAAAGTTCAGTACGTACAACATACATATTTTTGAAATGATAGGTAGGTAATAGGTTCATCCACTGGTATTTTACAGAAAAATGAAGCAAGCAAATATGCTTGAATACATCACTTAACATTCATAAAAAGATGACTGTCGATTATGTTGATTTTCAGGACTCACTTCAGGTGTTTTTTAAATCCCAAGGAATACAGACTCTGTATAACTCTCAAGAGTAACGTTGCATCAGAATAATGCTTCACACCATGAACCACATTATCCGGGAAAGGTATAAGTTTGGCTCAATGACATAGTTAATCAAGACGAATTTATTTTGTCACAGAAATATTTCACTCGTTCAAGAACAACTCGGCTACCTCCAGCATTTCCCCCAAACATGCAACTAACAGCCGATAAGTACATCCTCGGAAAAATACTCCGGACTACTACCTGCTGAAAATTTTCCCTACGTCAGAACGTCCCTAAGTAGCAGGTGGAGGGTTAATCGTGCCAGATTTTGGGGTGTATGGTTTGCGATTTAGGTCAAGGTAAGGTGTCGAGTAGACATGGTAGGTATTGAATACTTTTTTTAACCAACAATTCTTAGCACGGGATAAAGATACCTGTCCATTACTACCCTTAATGAGCAAGGGTTTTCAATCGCCATCAACAGAATAGCTGAAGCTCTCTTAAGATGAAGAAGGCTGAAAGATGCTGGCGAGGAGCTTGTCCGTAACCATAGCGACAATGTAAGCAGTTGTGGTTGTACACTGGAAAATATGTCATCACGCACAAGAAGAGGGCGACTTTGAACGAAGATGAAATCATAATTTGACGGAAGAACTGAAAAAAGGGAATCAGGGAAGGAAGACTATTGGCGTTAATTATACCGGTAAATGCAGCAATATCACTGGTAACAACAACAATTGTTAACAAATGATCCATGTTTTAACATGTTTAACATTCTCCTTTTCATTTACAATACAAGTTTCTGTCTTTCCGTTGATGACCCAAATCAAATATCTTAAGGCATGTTAACATGGTCGAGGTGTGGACTACTTTCCTACATGTCCTGCGTTGCCATTCCATAAAACACTATGAAATACCACAAAATCTGATATGTCATATACAAATACTTTTTGGACATGCGCAATAAATAAATTTCGAAGAAACAGTGAAAACAATGGTGATCAATATTTACCATTCTCACAAAGTTCCCCAGTAAATCCTGGTGCACACGTACACGTGAAGCTGTTCAGTCCATCCAGGCAATACGCCCCATTGTGACAGGGATCCCCGGCACAATCATCTATGTTGGTTTCACACATGTCTCCGCTGTAAGACAAATTGTAAATTTGCGAAAAATAATTTAATAATTAGAATCTTAAATGATTAACATATACTTTTCCCAACAGCATTTAACAATTTCTCAATTGTATATAACACAACAAAGTTGTTATTTCTTTTGTCAATTATATGTCTTTTGTCGAAATCATTTTGTGGTTCAATTTCCAATTAATTGATCCTTTTTTTCGGGATTGATAATTGTAAATTTTCGATCAATAATTCGCATTTTAAATCATTAATACATAATTTTCTTAACCGCATTTAACAAAAAAGTTGTGATTTCATTTTCAAAATGCTTTTGTGGTTCGATTCCCAGCGCAGGTCGAATTGAATCGTTTCCCCGGAGAGACAATATAATAATAATAACATTTGTGCTTATATAGCGCTTAATACATCGGCAATATCCTGTGATATAACTAGTTTAAAGAATTACGTGTGTAACTATAAATTGACATGATGAAATACATAATTATTACAGGTATTTCATGATATTCATGATGTCACATTTACAAGAATGGAGAGTAAGAACGTTTCAGGTTCCTCTTAAGAATTACCCATAGCCAAGCAGGCATTCACATGTAAAGAATCCTTCATGATCTGTACACGTTCCTCCGTGTTCGCATGGTGAAGACTCGCATTCATTGATGTTGACCTGACACAAAGTTCCATCGAACCCTGGAATGTTTGTAGAGAGAATGAAACACGTATCATGGTTCTCTATTTCAGTTAAGCGAACAAATAAAACTTAGCTATGTCTGTTGGCCAACATTTCTAAAAAAGAATAGCGGCGTGCTAAAAACGAGGAGACGGAATTGTGGTGATGGATGTATTTAGTTGCCAGAATTCTGACAAAACTTGTCTTGCCCATGTTAAATTATTTCTGAAAAATCAATATTAAGGGTAGAAATGAGATAACTGGCGTATGGAGGGGGAGGAGGCGCACGGTGCATATACTTTGGTAGATATTTGATTTGATTTGATTTGATTTGATTTATTTATTTCTGTTTGATTTTCTTTTTCTTTTGCATTTTTACAAATATATAACAAACAAATATTGCAAATTTACACATGACAAAAGAATATATGTAGAATAAGGTAAGGCTGGGTGTAACTAATCGAGAACATCAAACAGGAGGGTTGACAAAATAAGCAAAGCTTGATAGTATGACTACCCTCAAAGGATACATAATAATACAAATATGGTAGAACAAAATATTGGTAAAAAGGGGGAAAAGACAGAAAAAAGAAGAGAAAAGAAAGAGGGGATGCACATCAATATTCACAGACTTATGTGGTAGTTGGATTTCAAATTGATATATAAAGATTTTAAATAAGAAAAGAAATGCAAATTTGAATACTGAGTGGCCAACTTGGGATACAATAGAATGAGAAGACTCTCAAGGTTCGGACAGATATAGACTATATAGATATAGACTACTTATATCATTTTTGTAGTAAATTAATAACATGGTTGCTCAATTAAGGTAGGATAATTTTGGAAACGCCACTGAAGACATAACTTCGAATTGAGCAGGGGCCCAGAGCCCCAGACGTCCAGTCACAAGTTGTAAACGAATTCAAATATGCGGCTTACAAGAAAGAAAGATAATATATAAACGGTGTAGTATCCATACTCTTTAAAACCTTCCAAGATTGTAGAAGGATTTAATACGGATTGATGTCGTTGGTATATTGGTATATTGGTATACCAACAAAATAAATGCAGCCCGGAGGATGAAACTGTTTGTTGTTTAATTGGTTTCAAACAGATGTGATAAATTTGAAATAATTACTAAAGGTGAAATTGGATTTGACAAGGAGCAAAAGTGAATTACAACCCTGTTCGTAATGACATAGTTATAGTCATTCCGGCTCTTGCAGAACAAAAAAAAAAAAAAAATTGAAACTCTATGTATTATATGTGTGGTTGTAAAGCAATCTTCATGGGCCTTTATTACATAAAATGTGGTAAAACATGAGTATTCAAAGGCTTAATAAGCATGATAAGGTTAATAAAAAAAATGTACCTTCTGGACAATCACAAATGAAACCATCGATAAGATCAATGCATACACCATTATTCTCGCACTGGTTTGGTGTACAGTCATCAGAGTTCTCATCACAGATGACACCCTCGTACCCTGGTGGACAGCGACAAACATATCCATTCACCTAAGAAGCAAGGGATGAACAGAGAAACGCAAAATATGAAGAGAAGACGAAACGATTGTAGCAGTTGGGTGCATAACTAAGATAGATGTCACCAGATAATATAACGGATAGAATATTATCAATATCAATTTTTGTGCGGCTTGCGCTAGACCATAGAGTGAACAACTACATTATTCATACCCTTACCAAGTTTTGTAATAATTTATGAATGTGAAAAATTAATTTGTCCCACTTGATATTAAAGCTTACATCTAAATGTATTCAACAAAGGCCCTTATTCAACCATTCCACCTTTCATTCATGAGTTACGAAAAACACAAAAACATAAAATGAACAAGGGGTATGAACAATTTTATTGTTAATTGTATGTCTTTTGGCGTTTTTTCATCCGTTTCTTACAATATCAATGCATGTGGCTCCATTTAGGCATTGAATCCCGATGCACTCATTGATGCTCTCTTCGCAAAGGGTTCCTGTGAATCCCGCCAAACAATGGCACGTATACTCTGCACTGTCACTTCTCCCCAAACACGTGGCACCATTCATACAAGGATTCGCCGGATAGCACTGCGGAGCCTCTACCACCTGACATGTAGTCCCTATAAATCCTGGAGCACAGATGCATTTGAAAGCATTCACGTCATCCAGGCAGGTCGCTCCATTCTTACAGGGCTGCTGCATGCACTCATCGATATCGGTCTAATAAAAAGTGACGAAGAGTATGAAAATGGCTCATAAATGTTTAGACCTGTATTACAAAATGAATATGGTTTACAAATTAAAACACCCTAATGATTCTTATAAGGGTTTAGTATATTTTGTTTTCCAACTAGATGATTACTGCTGCTGATCGAAGATATTGGAGAGAGATTGCCGATAACTGAGCTCAATGGCACAGGAGTACAAGTCTCAATCTAAGTAAAGTAGCTGTTCATTCACACTTCGATTGAGGAACGAGTATACAGTACCCCATAACATTTTAGCATAGGGCTAAACCATTTAAACATATAATTTACCTCGCAAAATACCCCTTCGTATCCAAGCAAGCATTCGCAAGAGAAGTCACCGGGAAGATCGACACAAATTGCGTTATTCTGGCAGAGTGAGGATGCACACTCATTAATATCAACCTCACAGTGGGTGCCACTAAAACCAGCCTTGCAGACACATGAATAACCATTACGTTCATCCACACACTCCTCATAATTGAAGCAGGGAAAGCTACTGCATTCATTGATGTCTGTTTCGCAGCTGTCACCGGTAAAACCTTCAGGACAATAACACCTAAAATAGTTTGAAAAAGACAAAACCAGTAGGAAGTAACGGTTACAATATAAATCCCGATTATGATGTAACGTTTCTAGGCGCTTCCAAGTCATATTAAATATATAACGCCAGCTTTTCAGTTCGATACAACGCCCATTATTCATACACAATGCATTAAAAGCATTAGGCCCCAACATCATATGAAGTTTCGAAACGCCACCCGGGTGGAGAGAGACAAATTTGTACACAATGGCTAAACAATGCCTTCTATCATGACATGCAAAGCTTATCTATTTAATGTAAAAATTGTAAACCTATTAATTTACAAAAAATGAAGTCCATCGTACCATGAACATCAAGGACTTGGCGGACAGCGTCACAAAACTGGTTCCAGCATTGGAATAAACATTTCATGACATGTCAACAAATATAATTTCATGATATAAACTTGTCTCCTACAAGTATTTGCTTTCTTTGGTGTGCTGATAACTTTTAAAGACTACTTGCTAATTTGGTTTTGCAGAGCTGTATTGATGTCTCTCTCTCTCGGATTGATGTGTACCGTTTAATTTGACAAATTAGAACTAATTTTAAACGAAGATTTTAATTTGTAAATTTATTTTCATACAATAACTGAACTGTATGTACAAATTAATGCAAAGATAAAAAATACATTACCTGTGTGAGCCAGGTGCTAGATGTGAACAGGTTCCACCGTTTTCACATGGTGAATCAAGGCAAGGATAGATGGTCTGTTCACATTGGTAGCCAGTGTATCCCGTCAGGCACATGCAGCGATAGAACGACACCTCATCAATACATGTTCCATTGTTAAAACAAGGCCTGAAATTGTCATTGAAATTACAAATTAGCACAGATGTGTCGACAGCCATGTCTCTCATCGCATCACCAACTGCATGAAGCTTGCATGTTGATGCTTGGGTGCAGGAACGGGAAACTGCTCTATGTACGCCTTTACCGAAAGATGGCGCAATTGAAAATAAATTACAACAGAGGTAGCAATGTCGGTAAAATACTATACCTTTAAACAATGCGTTTAAAAACTAGGAATTATAACAATGATTATATCTTCATAAATCAAATGGATATTCACTATTACGTTAAAAAAAAAAGGAAATCAGAAATAAGCCAAAGATAGGGTTCTTTGTTAGCATTTTTAATGAGGACGTATTACAGAAAAGATGAGTAATTGGCATGTTTTTTTGTGGATAAAATATGCCAATAAAATGAAAGGAGGCAAGACTTTTTGAAAAAAGTACTAACACTGAGTGGCATTCGTTTATGTTGACTTCACAGTAGTCACCGGTAAACCCTTGAGGACATTGGCAATGAAGAACATTGAGATTCTCTTGACAAGTACCTCCGTTGTAACATGGTTCAGAAGAGCATCGCTCAACCCCTACTTCACATTCAACTCCTAAGAAAAACGAGAAAAAAACAAAAGAAGTTCCAATATAATGCTAAGTATATTACTTCTTGCGGATGTAGTATCGAAAATGATATCACTAGCGATATTTTTGTTACTTCCAATACATTTGTAAATATAGGCCTTTACATAAGGGTATAAGGAATATCAGAAGTGTATCATGTTTCTAACAAGAGCTGTTTTGTTTATGATATTTATAACTTTCTTACTATTCTTACGTTTTTCCTGTGCAGGTTTGCTTCTGCGACATTGTTTTTACATTCACGTGTCATCTTTCATTTAGTTTTAACTTCCTCTCTCATTTCCACAGTGCAAAAAATAAATTTAAAAAATTAATATAAAAGGCAAAAGATCTACAGGAACAGGACCCTTTTAATAAGTAAATGTTACTTAAGCTAACATGGAGTTAGCTTTAAATCTATATAATAACAATAATAATAACCTTTGTAGCCTGCAGGGCAAATACAAACATAGCTATCTCCCACATTACTGCAAGTGCCTCCATTGTCACAGGGGTTTTCCACACAGAAGTTCGTTTTCACTTCACAGTTAGGTCCTTCCCAGCCATCCGGACAGTGGCATTCATAAGAGGCGACCTTGTCGATGCATGTTCCATTAACACCGCAAGGCTCTGATATGCATTCGTTGACATCATCTTCGCAAAAAGACCCTGGTATGGTAATTGAAATGATATGCAAGTAATTTTCAAGTTTCGATATAATTGACATTCCAACCTTGGTTTGCCCTCTGTGTCTGTCTTGTATTTGTTTCTGTAGTTTTCACACAGGCAACCTGGTGTAACGTAATAAGGGACTGAACTGTTTAATGTGCACCTCGAGTACAGCACAGCTTTTATTACCCCCCAACATAAACCAACCAACTAACCAGCCAAAAAAGATTGAAGACCTGTCGAGCAGGCACGTAGCCAAAGTTTGGTTTTTTTTTTTTTTTTTTTTTTTTGGGGGGGGGGGGGGGGAGGGGCACATACATGTAATTGATCGAGGTAAAAAAAAAAGGGGTCTAAAAAAGTTCAACCGATCTTGGAATTTTTTGGGGGGGCACGTGCCCCCCCCCGTGCCCCCCCCCCCCCCCCGTGCCCCCCCCTCCTGTGGCTACGTGCCTGCTGTCGAGAGAAATGTGAGACGGTTTTAATAAAGTACATCCCCATTTAATGGCACCTTTGAAGATCAATGGTTACCAGACACGAATATTATTTATTTTACCCTTAATACTTGTAAAAGAAAGAGACGAGGATTTCCATTAATTTCAAGATTACCATTGGTGTCATTCAGTTTGGCTTACCTGTGTAACCCGGTGTGCATAGACATAGAGAGTGTCCATTCGGATCGGTACTGCACGATGCATCGTTGGAACATGGACTAGACAAACACCCGTCTATGACAACTGCACAATTCTGACCTACAAATCCTGCACGACATTCGCAGCTGAACTCATTTCCCGCTAAGTTTGTGCAGTTGCCACCATGCTGGCAGGGGTCATCATCGCAAATAGTTTTGTTTTTCTCGCAGAATGTGCCGGCATAACTAGAGGTACAAAGACAGGCCCAAGAAGTACCAAAGTCGATGCATGTGGCATTGTTTTCGCATGCAACATCTGCACATAGATCGATGTCAATCTCGCACCTATCCCCTTCGTATCCGCTCGGACAATCGCAAGTGTAGCGAGCCACTTCATCAGTACACGACCCTCCATTGAGACAGGGGTCACTGTTGCATTCATTAATGTCGCGAGAGCAGTTTAGGTTGGAATAACCTGTCGGGCAAATGCACTTGTAACCGAACACGTCATCAGGAACACTTTCACAAGTCGCTCCATTCTGGCAGGCATTCGGAGAACAGGCGTTGATATCATACTCGCAGTTCTGCCCGTGAAACTCATCAGGACATCGGCATTCATAGAAACCAGCATAGTTCACACAGGTACCGTTGTTCTGACAGGGTGTCAACTGACATTCATCGATGTCTAGGTCGCATCCAGCCCCTGTAGAAAGCAATAACAACAAAAAAAGGCAATTCGTAACAGCAAAAAAAAACTTACGTAATTTTTCACTTGATCAAAAAAGATACCGAGAGAGTGTCATTTAGTAAAAATTAATGGGTCCAAAAATTCTCAATCTGTGACCAATAATGTGTCCTAACGTCTGTGATTAATTTTATACCTGACTTGATTAATATTGTGCCTAATAATGAACTAGATTCTACTACACACCGACAAATTTAATAAATCTGACTCGGGAATTACCATTATTGAAAGTTTCGATCACATAAATGGCCCCATATATATGCATCCCACCCGGTTTTTCTTTATAATTTAGGTCGGCGTCTTTGATACACTTGAAAGATGATTGAGTGTCTTATTTTCTCGCTCGCTTCAGTGTCTCACAATATCCTTAAACATTATAATTTCAGGCAGCGAAGTGCCTAATTGCTTCCATTTATATTGTTTCTTGGCTTCACCTGAATCGAGAATTTTTGATTACCTTCGTATCCCGACGCACACTGACATGCATAGGAGTCAATATTATCCTTGCAAGTTGCTCCATTAAGGCAAGGGCTAGATCCACATTCATTAATGTTTTCTTCGCAGTTTTCTCCAGTAAAACCTGGAACACAAAGACAGGAGTATCTCTCCAGTCTATCCAGACAGGTAGCGTTGTTCTGGCACGGTTGACTGTTGCATTCATCAATATCTAGAAGAAACCATATATTATACTTTGTAATTTACATGTTGGCTTGTTTTTAGATTGAAACGATGAGTCGAAAAGTCCGATTTGTAATGCATTAAGTCAATCATGGTTTACAGAAGGAACCATACAAATATCATTTAATTGAAAATTCGACCTTTGTAGCGAATTTATTTGGGTAAACAAAAGAAGGAAAAAAGGAAAAGATCTGGGAAAATAGAATGATTTGGGGAAACATGGTTTTGAAAGAGAAATAGGATTGGTTGGAAGTTAAGATCAGCTTATAAATCTGAATCATATCGGGGAATATGTCATTCCCATGTTTCTTAATTGGGAACATATATATCTCTAAGTTATCGTAGGAAAGAAACTTCTCAGTACCCTTTCTCTAAATGCTCGACATATTTCATGTAGAGGGATTGTATGTTGTTTTATTTCTTCAAAATGAAACGGACTATTAAACTAACGAAAAAACAAACAAAAATGGTACTGTGTCAAGTTACGGAATGAATTTTAAGCTGTCGTGCAATTCTGGGTGGGAGGCTTTGTGCCCCTCTAAACTAGGAAAATGGCCTGGCCCCCTTGACAGTTGAGACCCTGATAGGTATATGTATTTGTAAGGCGTGTTTAACTGTCAAACATTTGTAAAGGACCCGAGGCGAAGAATAATTAGTAATACAAATAAGCCGAAAGTTATCATTTAAAGATTTTTCTATAATACCACCTGAGCTCTGTTTCATCAATAACAAATGCAAATTTTGTATTATAAATAATCGAATGCCAGGATTTAGGTAGCTTATAACAGTTATTGTAACTTGTAATTGAAAAACAAGTTTTCAGAACAGCTGTTTTCAACTCTGATCTACGTCAGTGATATCACACTAACCAAAACCTTTTCATGCAATATTTGTTTTTGCAACAATTGTAATGACCTTCTTTGCAGTCATACACACCTCGACACTGTTCACTCAGCGTGGCGCCCTCTGTAAGAGTGGTTGTATTTCCGGGACAGTCTACACAGAATGTCGTTTGTTGGGACGGTTGGTAGCTTCCCATTGGACATCTTACACAGGGTGCAACACCTGACTCGGAATAATGTCCTGGCTCACAGGCGGCTATGGAAATTTGATATAGGAAGAGTTAGATGTTAGTGTGAGTTCTCGCAACGACAATTATAATTCTCACACAATCAACCGAGACACACACCCAGAAGTTTAAAAGTAAACATTGTTGTTGTTGAAATAATACTTGAATGAAATATTTCTTAACGATGCACTTAAAACAAACGCTTGCATTAAATTTGAATAGAAGTAAAAGGCCTAGTCAATATCATGATATATTAAACAAAGTTATAAAATAAACATGTTTATCTCAAACTCCACTCCACTTCACTTTGTCTGCTATAAGTCAGATTTACACGAAAGTGCTATTACCTTTACACTGGCCAGACGAGTTTGAACCTCTCTGGAGTGTTGTTGTTTCATTTGGGCATATGGTACAGTTGATACTCAATGGCTTGCTTTCATAGAATCCGAAGTCACAGCGGTAACAAGGTACAACGCCCGTACTGGAAAATGTACCGGGCAAACATTTATCTGTACGAATGAGAGAAATTTTTCCAAGTTATATTAAGACACCTATAAAACGACAAGGCGTTCCAATTCTGAATAACAGGTATTTGGTATT